GAAAGTATATATATAATTATAATAAAGTTACAATAAATTAAGTTAACATATAATTATATATACTTAATATATAATTATATATACAGTACCTAATTTATGTATAATTTATATATAATACTGTACAGACGATAGTAATCTCTCCGTAGCGTGGCGCTACGGACGGCGGGAAAGTAGTTCGGCTGCCCGATGACGTTTTACGTAATTATAAGAGTTTTTACGGGTTTTTACGGATACCGTCGCAATTTTTTCGCAGTTATATAGAAATCGTAATTATAGGGACCGTAATTATAGGGGGTCTACTGTATTTACTTTCGGCCAGTGCTCCGCTGCTCGATGATGCGCAAACATAATACATAGATATTACACGAACTAACAAGTAGAGACTTGTAAAACATAGGTAATAATATGCGGCACGAAACCTCAAAATTTCTCTCTTAGGTGAGTCTTCAAAATGCAACTTTTTGTATAATAAATGGTAGAAAGAAAACCTGACACGAAATGCGAGATTTAACGAAATTTTTCTCGTATGAAATAAACGGCGGGGATCGCGGGTGAATTCAACGAAAATTGCCAAACCGCGCTTAATATAAATTGTCCAAACTTCTTCGTTCGAGTATCTATACTCAACCCTTTAATATTGGAGAAAAGCGGTAATATAAAAAAATATATATTAATTTTTCTTATGTCAAACGTCTCTGTATTGTATCAAATTTAGTGAACTGTCGTCAATTTTCTTTTATTACCTCACTACGAAAATTACAAATCTAACTAATTAACAACCTAATTCAAACACTGTATATTCTGTAAACTACGGTCAGATAAATAAAACGAACAACGAAATTTTCGTGAAATTTATTAAATCTATTTTTAATCATTATTAAATAATTTTAAAGCAGAAACTCTGCACCGAAACCAAATACGAAACATCCGAATTTAAAACTTTTCTTCATTTAATTACTTTGCTTCCGCTTTAACTGCAGCCTTTGTCGGTGAGCTAAAACAACACCACGTGAATAATTCAATTCTCTAAAACACGAAGGAATTGATAAACAATAAAGAAAAACCTGGTGGAAACTGCAGTCTCCCCACTCTCACAAAGCTCCTTCAATTTCATCAAACTGTCTCGCAGATTCCGTGCAAACCTCTCCGAGTCCGTGGTAGAGACGTCTTTAAACGAAGAAATGCAAAAGAAGATACGATTCTCCTGTGGATTGTACGAACATCCGTATCCGTCGGGCACCACGGGACCGTATCCAACTACGATGTCGTAGGTCGTGGGAAGCTAAAATAAGTCAATCAATTAATTTTCCCCCACTGGCTAACACTTAAACAATACACAAAAAAATGCCCGACCTGACTGGTCGATAAGCGGAAATTCAGGAACTCTTTGTAATAATCTGTTTGATAAAGTGCCGGCTCTTGTAAGCCGTGCAGAGCAGCCATTTCCTTTAAGCACAAAAGATGGTTATCCGGTCCTTCTCCGTTGATTGTCTGAGCGATAACACATATTATCACAATTACAAAATTGATAAGTAATTCTGTTGATTCATTTATGGCTCTTTACTACTTATGTAGAGAAGGATTTCGGTTTGTTTTTTAACGGCTTTTCGGAATTTATATCATTTTTCGGTCTGAAGATAGCAAAAGAAACAATTTGAATCCTGGTTTAATGACAATTAAATTAAAGAAATTTGCATTCGACTGACCTGACTCACGGAAGAATGTAACATAGATCTTGAGAAATCCAACGCCTGTTGGCTGGAAGCGCGGATGTTGTCGATGCGACCGAATCTGAATTTCCTCAAAGCTCCACTTTCGTAAGTGGCCGTCATTACGATGTGCGTTCTGATGAGAAAACAACAGCATTGTTGATTTAATTACACTCAAACAGGCATTAAAGGAAAGAGAATCGTCGTTTAAACGAACCTGTAGTATGTCAACTGCAAACACAACTGAACGAACACATCCGGACTGATTTTTTGTTTCTTCGGAAAACCTTTGCCGTATTTGTCAAATATAAAAACATTGAGTTCCAGCGTGTCGATTAATCTGAAAATAATGTTTACAGACAATATTTATACCTCCTTCAAACAATAATGGTCTTTAAGTATTAAACGAAACCAGGGCCAAATCCTGACCAAAATTTTTGGGTACGTTGCAGGTTATAATAAGAACAATAGGCCTATCTCTAGCACTAAACAATAGGCAAAAATGTTATTTGGTGTGAATAAATAAGTACGGGCTATTATAAAATGCATTATATTTACACATTAAATAAATTATAATGAAAAAGTATTAAAAATTTATGAGAATAATTCAAATTTTGTGGTTCCTTTACGCTGTCATTCCAGGACTTAAGCCCTATTAATATCTATGTAGATCCGTTTGTACGCTATGCTGACAGGGTACTGGAAGCTTTGTTTTAAAATGTGCGTGACTAATTGAGACGAAATTGCCACGACTTTTGTTTCTAATTACAATGAAATTTCTGTCGAGAAATAATAATAGATTCCGCAACATTTCTCGATTGATAGAATCAAAAGAATCTACTAAATGGTGAATCAATATCTAATTATGGCAATTGCCCGTAAATCAAAGTCTTTTCGAACACGAACACCATATACATAGAGATTTTACGAGGTTATACATGTCATAACTTCTAAGCAGTTATAATACTAAACATCAGCAAAGAACGAACTGACGTTTTTTTCTTGTTTTCTTCGCGTCAATAAAAGTTATTATTCGCGGATCGTCAAAATTGCGGTATCTTACGCGTCTGTGACGGCCGATGCATTTTTGATCTCTTCTTCGACAGTTTCGTCGAGGTCCCAGATGAGTCTTCTGACTGTCAGTAGATCGTCGGACGATCTGTTCGGCTGATCTCTTTTCCTGCAAAAATTATAAACACTTTACTTCCATTCCTAATATTTAATTTAACAGATAAAGCAATCTTACACGAAATCCAGAAATTTTTCGCAGAATCTTAAAACTGTAAGCCCTTCTGACACCGAATGTTCGATCACAATTCCGTTCACGCCATTTTTGGTCACGATAAACTACAGAGAGGCGAGAGTAAACAATCGGGCATCGATTTATGTACCATGTTATAGGCAAATTAAAGGAATGTAGTTAATTTATTATGGTTTTTTTAAAATTAAATCGACATTCAGATTTACGTAAAATCAAAATGACAATCAGGTGAAATTAATATAAAAGAAAGTAATCGTTCTTTTGTATTCGTATAGAAACTGCTCGATACACTTCGGTTAGAATATAAAAAAAATTTAACGATACGAAACACAAAACGTTCAAAATATAAATCGCATTGTGAGATTACTTCCGTGTATTTACGTACTACAGTTTATTTTTGAATGAATCTACAGGTAGATATATTTATTCATATCAAATTATATTGAACACGAAAGTAGTCTTTCGAAAGTATTTTAAAATGAAAGATTACGATTGAAAATTATCGACCTATTGAGTTAGTTGTTTGCAATGAATAAATTTTACCTGAATAAATTTATCGAACCATCTGTTACCGGTGGAATGTTCGCTTTTATTGCCGTGAAGGATGTGGTGGGCCATCTCTTCCAAACTCCCGTCCGAAAAGCTCTTCGATGTCGTTTGTTTCCTCGCCCCTTCGTTCGATTCGTCCATGCACACCACAAACAGACAATTTTCAATTATCCGAATGGATTCTTTATTATTTTCGTCTGCGTAATCGTAAATTTAATTTAACGGTCGAAGACTTTTAATATGTAACAAATTTTTGGCTTTCCTCTCTCACTTTCGATCATTCGTTCTCTTATCCTCGCCCATTGTTTTCGATTGAGAGCCGTGAGAATACCCACTGGCGGATAGTGTGGCTCCAACTTACTGAGAGTATCGATTTTCTTAAGCTTTTCTACCAGCGCTTTTTCACTTGGAAGAGCTATTCTACCGGGTATCATCAACACAAATAACTGTTAAATAATTAAAAGTAGAATTGTGAATCTAATAAACGCTTGTAATCAGAATTAATTAAGTAGGAAATGCAAATGAAATAGAGAAAGTACTTTCTTAACATTGGAACGGTTCTGTTATAATATAAATTAGGCAAATCATTATGTCTTCGAGAATATACATTTTGTAATTACTAGAAATAAGCTTAGAACGGCACGTATTTCTTACAATAGATGTATTCACTACACGATGTATCTTATTAAAATTGTTTATATGCAGCGTGAATCAAATGTCTTACACAAACTTTAAAGTTAAGTCAGTAAAACAACCACAAAGTAATTTTACCTAAGAACACAAGCCTTGACCACCACCATAATTGTTCAAAGTATAGAAAGAATCAGAAAGCAATACCTCGTGTTTATTAGAACACCTGAGTGTTTGCCGCTATACTAGATATGTCACCAAGTATAAAAGGCTTCGTTCTTTGTATTTTTGTTTTACCTTTAAACGGTGTCCAAGACCTTGTCAATTACGCTGTATATACCTCGCATTTAAAATTGTTCTACAGTTGAAAATATTTCTTTATAATGTTTTTGTACAATCGTTACAAATTAGTAGCAAATTACGAAGGTTACAATAACTCTCCAGAAAAGTGTAATCTGATAGGTAAATAATATTTTTAACATTCCTACGTGAATATTTTAAGACAAACTGAATTGTATAAATTTACTTTAAATAAATAACAATCAAAACACATTGAAGAACCAAAGATTTGACTAACAAAGAACGTTCTGAAAATATTGCTGAATCTGCCTCTACGAGTGCAAAACACAAAGATAGCAGTCCGTCCCACAGGATACACTTCAATGAGATTGTTTTCTTTGCAGAACAGACAAGGAATTTATACAAAATGACACATTTCCTATCGCGAAAGATTATAACAATTTAATTTCTGAAATCTTAAACGAGTATTTTTATGTTCCACTACATGAAAAATATAGTCAGAGTCCGAAATAATCTGAATGAGTCTTATCCAACCGATTTCTTTTATTTAAATTTTACTAAGTGTTGTATTAAAGCATGGTATCACTTCGAAATCATGTTTTCTGTCATCTTCCAAGAAAGTTCATTCAAAATTTGTCAGTTTTCGTCAATTTACGAAAGTGTGAACTATTAGAACTTTCGTCGTTTAATCACACTATATCCCATTAGCAGTGGTTGTCTTAAAATGTGGAGGGGTTGCATTGAATTAATATGATAGGCAATGTTTCCAAATGGAATAGTTTCCGGGATAACGGCACTATTTACGTATTACAAACACGAATAAAATCTGAAAAAGTTCCAGCATCCAACTTCTTTCGACTCGCACGCAACTACTAATAATGTCTAGCTCTCGTACAAATTTCAAGAATTACTGTATATGAAGTAGGTGTCGTGTAATATAGAGAATTAGTCTTTCGTAATTAAATCATATCTATAGATATCGTCAATGTTTTTATATAGAAATAATAAATGTAACAAACGATAGCAGTATATGAAAATGGAAAAAGATATAATATAATGTATGCCGTAAGGAAACGACAAGCTCGAGATATCGGAAAGTTATAAAGAAGATAAATGAAATTGTTTTCTTTCTTTATCAAAAGTCTTACCTGATTGTTGCAGATCACAATGATATGTCTGCTGCCGCCTTCACTAAAAACGTGCTGGTCTTTAGTCGCGCCTGGTCTTCTGTAAGCCGTGAAAAAGTGATGATACGTAGCCATGGAAAGCGCATTCCCTTTCCTTTGTCCCCCAGAAAATTCTTGCTTTAATTCTCCGCTGCAACGAATGAGTCAGCTTAATCACAGTTTCCTTCTTGGAAATCTTGTTTGTAATTAATGCCTGTTTACATGTCAACTCTTTGCTTGAACATAAGCGAAAAGATGATAAATTTCGCAATAAATCTGAGAAATAATCCACAGTCATCAATAGGACAAATTGCTTATAAATAATTATTTTACGAGAAACCATTACCGAAATCTGTCGTCATCCGTTTTGAATTCTCGCTTCGGCAGCAGGAAAAATGGATTAGAGTTGATGGGCAGTGGCAAAGGATTTTTTAAATACATATCGTTCAGCCACAACTCGGTTACCTGCAAAAGATGTATATTTGTATATTGTTATTTGTAGTGAGACGGCTTGTCGAGAAAGAAGAAACACTCACGTAATTTTCGTGGCTTTTTGCATATTCCTTCAGGAACCTCTGCAGGTTTTGCATTTCGCCCGACGTTTGATATTCTTCGACCAATGTACGAGCATCCTCGTATTTGTCACCGGAAACAATTGCTTTGATTCCTTCCAAGAATCTGTTTAGGGTGACGGAGAGCTCGGGAACCGACGGCTTTGGCAATTCCTACATGGAAAAGTGATTTATGAAATGTAAATGCGTTATTATTGTTTTATGCATCTCATCAGTTACGATAGAAAATATATCAACTTTATCTTAATTGTCAATTTAGACTCACAGTTTCTTTTATTTCCGCCATTTTCGCATTGTTTCTCTAGAAAGAATTCGAATTGCAACTTGTTAATTTGCTGAAGACTTGTTAAAGTTAAAACAATGCGAATCGGTCGTTGCACAATAATGCATTAATAATACATCTTGTATTTTTGACTGTATGTTAATAGTTTTTATTTACCGTTCATATATTCATATATAGGCCTATATATTAATAGACATTTTGTGTATTGCTTCGTTTCAACTTGCAGAGTAGGTTTTCCGCGTAGGCAAGGTTACATCCTATTTTGTTGTATAACCCCGTATAGAATCTGAACGGGTTGAAAACCTCACCAATTTATCAGATGTGGTGAAAGAGATATCTCAGTTGTCATCCCTTACCGCTCCACAGCTTTGTTTCGGGCACGTGGAACCCACAATGAACGTTTGACAGGAATTAATGTGAAAATAAAATTGTCAGAAGGATATAAATTTTAATTTAAATAAATAAATACGCATTCTTGTTTTATTTCATTACAGCAGGGTGTCGCCTTAAAACTACCTGATAAAATTTACTTGTCACCGAATGATATAAGATTTACTATATTTTCTGTGAACATAACATTGTAATAAATTAAATCGCTAGCTTAAATCATTCCATTTTTTTTCTCGACTTCAATATTTTCTCATTCATCCGAAAGCAAAAAAAAGCGAAAATTAAGTAGACAAAATATAGTATGATTACAATTAAACTGACCCTATTGAGGCACGAAAATTAAAAATTTCGTGCCTCAATAAGCACGAAAACCAATCTTCAATTATTGTGCCAAACTTTTCACGAACTTTAATACAATGCAGTGGCGTACCGTGGGTGTCAGCCGCCCAAGGCGGAGGAAAATTTCCCCCCCCCTTATTTAGGTATTTCAATTTAAAAGACCAAAATTCAGAATTCAGTTTTGTCACAGAACAGGCAATGAAAAATTCAGTGGTAGTGCAGCGACCTGTTTAAATTACTTCTATTGGATTTAGTGATGTTTATGAACGCGAATGAATCGTACAAGCAAAAAAAAAAGGTTCTCAGATAAAAATGTTACTAGTTCACCCAGCGAGCTGGTTCCCGGACTGTCGGGACGAGAGCACTATCGTAGGCGCAATGCAAGTATACATTAGGTTGTTTCAGAATTTTACAAGATATTATTATTATTTATTGTGAAATCTCGCCCCCCTGAAAAGTGCTGCCCGGGGCGGAGCGCCCCTACCGCCCCCTACCGTACGCCACCGATACAATGTAGGCAAACTATTTAAAAAAACTGCATTGAAAGCCTGAAAATCATTCCGCGTGCCTTTGTTATCGTTAATAAAGCTCTTACAGAAGAAAGAGTTTTGCCGATGTAAGTGTTTTTTCAAAAATGCACGGAATATTTACGATTAAAACCGAAAACCGTCAAGTTTTGACTTCGATTATTTCCATAGATGGCACCATTAAATGTTGCCGGAATAGGTAAATAACTCGTTACTAGTTTTTTTCTATAAGATACAATTATCATTACAGTAGAGCGTCGATTATCCTAATCAATTGGAGACTGGGGTTGTTTGGAAGATTGATGTTCGGATAACCGATTATGTACGAAAAAATATATTAATGTATCCCATCTTGACATTTTTCTCCGTTGCGTGTCGCTTCGCGTTGAATTTTCGTCGATGTTAAGCCTAACGTTTTCTAACTATTGTATCGTTAAAAATTATTTTTTTATTTTATACGAACAAAATAAAAATATTGAAAAATATAAAAATAATAAAAAATTATACCTCAGAAGTTAACTTAGTATCAAAAACGTAAAATATTTGAGTAGCCCAAGACATAACCAAAGATTGCAGCGCCACAGCTCTGGCGTAAATTTAAATTTGCTGACTGGAATTATTTCGGATGACTGACTTTCGGATAATCGATGCTCTACTGTACTTATCAATGGGCACTCGCGTACAATGGATGGAGATTCATCGAAAGCGAGCGGTTTTATAATTCACAGGAGAAGAAATAAATAAACAAACAGGTTCGAATGAGAGGTACAGTATAGTGGGTGATCGGTTAAATTAACGAACATAATCCTTTCCAAGACTGTTCTCTTTTTACGAATTGTTCGTTAACCGATTATTAATTTACCATAGGCTTGTAAGGGAATTTGATTTATTCGTTCTGGAGAACCATATATATATATATATATATTTGGGTCTCCAGAACGAATTAATCAAATTCCCATACAAGCCTATGATAAATTAATATAAATAAAAATACATACATACACTGACTTGCATTTTTATTAGTCGTGTTTTTTTGTTTGTGGGGGTTAATAATCTGTATAATGTCGATTGCTTTTCTCTCTTCTTCAGGATTTTCAGAATTAATAGCATTGTAATTGTAGAGATCCCCAAGCCTATTAACCTCAACCCGGTTTGTATGCCATTCTAAGGCCGTTGATCCGACATCTCCCACTTCTTCAAAAGATCTTTAATTAATAGCAGATATCGGAATTAATCCTCTTTTTCAGAATAAAACATATCTCGCCGAGTTTCTTGTTCTTCTGTCGTCAGATCCGTTTCAGGTTCCATTACGAGCTCTTCGATGTTTTTTTATTTCTCAGATGTGATTTTTGTTACTCCCTTAGCTGCTTGAGTTTTTTACTGTAGACCCGTTCGAGCCATAATTCCCAGCAACATCAGACATCTTCTGCCCATACTCTATCTTTGCTATTATACTCTCACCTTTCGAAAATAAAAACCGACGCAAAACTTAACGAGTGCCCGCCCGACAGTCTCGCGAATACTATAAAAGAATTGTTTGTCAGAAAAATAAATGGCTGGAATTACAAGGGAGTATTTCAAAGTTCGAAGAATACTATCTGATCAGTATATATCGGGTTGAGCGCCGACGTTGACGTCTCCAGCGCTCCAAAAAGTTATCTGAAGACAAAGGAAAACCAATCGGTATTAGCTATTTTCGTCGCTTCTTTTTATGTTTCTTAAGTGAAGCGTTCGTTGTCCGATCAAAAAATCTTTCGCGAAAGTGTTCGTTATCCGATTTGTTCGTTAACCGATCACCCACTGTATCTCGGTCACACACGTGTCTGGCATGAAATTTCCCCCTTCGCCCGCCGTAACTTTACTTCCACTTTTAAAATAAACATCATGTTAAGTGCCTATCTGACTAGAAAATACAGAAAGACATATTCAATAAATGTTTGAAAAATTTGAAAAATGTTTGTTCAAAAGTTAAAATTCCAAAGACTTTATGGAAATATCGCATCAAAATTCCATTTTACTTAAAGTAAAATAAGTATCTCATTTAAATAACTGTGACCGAAGGGTCGGCACCTCTTTGGTGCCCTGTCAGGATGACACCACCGCGTCTCGACGGACACGGAAGCCGCGTTATTTAGGTCACGCGAGCGGTCGCGTAACGGAGCGATCAGAGTCGAGATAGAAGGAGAGACAACGCACCGGAAGTGATTTACTCAGACGCTTTTTTAACGTAACAACTGTTTAATGGTTAACGATAGGATATACATTAGGGCTGCTATTAGATACATTGCTCGCTTTAGTATATAATA